GAACTGTAAGTGAGGGAGAAAAAAGATTTTGATGAAATGGATGCAGTAGAAATTCGAGAGGCCAATGGAGTTATTATGTGCATAATATTCATCATTTTTGAAAATACGCTATTATATTTGTTATGGCTGGCTGCCTGTGCTGTCCGGCTGAGATCGCAGTAATTACAATAGCTAGAGACTTCAAATTTTCACTAAAATCTTTATGCTATAGTATAGATGTGCAGGCTCTAGTCTATTTTGAGTTAGGTGAGATCGATAATTTTAATTTGTATGACCAAAAATGCGGTTTCATAATGAATATGCTGATTTACAACTCGTTTTATACAGGGTGGCCCACTGAAAACAGTCAATGCCAATTTTGCCCACTTAACGACAGTTTTGCCAGAGACGCTCGAATACGTCAATTTTATTTTTGAGGGGGACAACTAAATTAAGTAATACTACTTACCTAACTTTAACCCTGAGCAGGGGGTGAATTGCATCCCAAAAATTTTAAATGGGAAGGGGTAGTAAATGTTAGATAGGTCGAAAGGAATGTTCTTTATGTTTTCAGAACTGTTTTTATTTTTCAAATCCGATCAGTAGTTCCAGAGAAAACTCGATTTAAATGGATTTACAGAGCCGTTTTAAATGTGAATTTGTGAGTGTGTTAAATTAACCTTGTTTAATTTTGTGGTAAATTCAAAAACAATTACGGTTTACACTATAGCGCAAAGGGTGGAAATTATTTCGATTTTTTTTTAATGGCGATTCTGCTTTCACAAATTCGCTTCTTGCTTGTGCACTTATTGTACTTATGCCAGATGTTCTTTTCTGGCACAAGCTCTCAATTATTTGGAAAGAAAAAAGGGTAATTACATTGTGTAGACCTGCTTACAACTGGTATGTTACAGACTTTGTGAAGATTGAATTAGAAAAAAGACCGACGAAAAGATGATTTAACATTAAAAAACTAAAACGATAACAGAAAAGTTAGCCTAGGTATATTGAGTTAGATCCTAACTAATAAATTATAATAGAATCTGAGTAAAAAAGCAGTTGCTAAAATATGTTTAAATACCTTATGAAGAAAATTGGACAAAGCCCGTTGGTCTACGTAGCCAAAAAATAATTGCGACCTTTCTTATATCCTGACGAACATGCGTATCAATTTTCAAAGCGATCGGACGTTTCTACACAAAGTTATCGTGCACTCGGACAGACAGACAGCAATACAAATTTATAAACGATCTCGAGGGTCGTTAATAAAACCCTCACTTTAACTCATAGAAATTCCATTTGCGGTAAAACCTTTCACTATCCACTCATTAAAAATCCCTTTAAGGTATACATAGCATACATATCAACTTACAGAAAATGTACTTAAAGTAAAGGCCTTTTATTAACACACGAGAAATATAGTACATCAAAAAGCACGTTTTGTACGCCGAAATTTATCAACGGCCAACTGTTCCTACGGCGAATCGGAGGTGGCGAAACGGTGACGACGGATTATCCTAGACTCGTCGGTCTAACCCCAATCACAATTAGTATTTTGTGAAAGACAGGTTTGTGCCTTCTACGTAGCGTTGCCATCCGTCCTCTTTTCCCCGGACACTGTCCTCTTTTTTTGCGCGTCCGGGGTATGTCCGGGGAACATTTTTGATTTGTCCGGGATTTAACAAACAGAAAACTTTTGATCAAAATATTGATAAATCAAACCATCAATGACGTCAACATGATCAGTTTACGGTCTATATATAGAGTAACGCCGTAACCTCTCATTTTTTTCGTGATTAGCGCGTACGCGGTGCGGCGCGCGCGCGAATCGTGATTCGTGATTCATGCTGTAATTTTGCTGTAGCGGCTTCGTCTCTGTTTTGTTGTCCGTTTCGTGGTTTCGGATAACGTGCACGTGCAGCAGGATTATTAAAATTATTTAGAATCGTGGATCGAACCTCTGAAAGATCTAGATATATTTGAGTGGATGGATATTGCTAATATTAAAACAGTCGAGTATTCAAATCTTGAACCAACTCTTTTATTTTTAAATGCTCACAATGTAAATTTTGACGAAGAAAAGTTATTTAATGAAGTACTCTGTTTGCAAAAATTTATAAATGACTTGCCAACTGAAAACCAAGTTACAGACAATTGCAATATTTTTTGGAGCAATTTTTTCTTGTCTGAATTAGGAACAAACTGCCATGAACTTAAAAGGATAGCTTCATTTTTCTTTTGTCTACCAGCTCACAACGCCAACGTGGAGCGAGTATTTTCGCTCATTAAGTCTCAGTGGAGCGCTGAACGAAATAAACTTTTACCTGAAACTATAGCAGATATTTTAAAAACCAAATATAATTTTGACATGACATGTCAACAATTTTATGATTACCTTTTAAAAGGAGACAAAAATGTCCTTAAAAACATAGGCAGTTCACTTAAATATAATGTTGAATTAAATAAGTAATTTACAATTATTTTTATATTCTTTGTATGTTATTTTTATTTAGATAGGTTGGCATATCTATTTATCATATATGTTTAATAAAAAAACGTCATAAGACAAAAATTTGACTTTTTTTTTGCCTGTCCGGGGTATATAGTAAAATGTCCGGGTTTTTACATTTTGAAATTCTAGTTTCTAAAATTATACGATGGTAACCCCTACTTCTACGTAACTAAAAATAAGGTTGTCGTAGTGGGACGTGCAACATTTTGTGCTTTTAATGTAGGCAAGATATCGTACTTTTCATTTTTTAATTTTGGCTTGAGAACATTGGATACTTACCACCCCCTTTGTTCACATATTTTTGTAATGCTACCCACCTAAGTTTGACAGTGGTACATATTGGGTGCGTAAATCTGGGTCTATACGTTATAATCACCTTATTTGAACGCTTAGATTATGGCATTTCAGTACTTAAGGAATTACACTTGTGTAGTGTAACGACTGGAATCCTCACGAAGAACAGCATCGGGTCTTAGAACGATCCTTACCTACAATATTTGTGTTCATAATCATGTAGAGTGATCGGCTATACAATTCTCTATTTGGGGGAAGATTAAATACGAAATCTAATGTCATTCATTTTTAATCAATGGGAAGGGTAGAGGTGCAACAAATACCCATGCTTTTTAGACTTGTACTATACTAAGAAGAACGATACCTTTTTCTCTGGTTAACAAATAAGTGGACATTTAAACATCGTGGAAGATTATTATTGAGGTATTCTAAATGCAATTTTTATTTGGGACTAGTTATAGTGAAAGTGAAAACCGTAAATTTGAGGAGGAAAGGTGGTACTAAGACACTGTACTCCGTTTATTCAAAACTAGCTAACTAACTAAAGGTAAGCTCCCAACTTTAAATTCCGTTTGAGGACCCTTCGTCTTCCAAATCAACCGAAAATGCGCTTGGTTAAGTGATTGAAAAGTGAATATCGTGCCTAATAAGCTATTCTTGGTATTTAAATTGTCTTTTGAGAAACGTTTCTGCATTATTCGCAGGTTATCGACTGGTCGTATTGCAGTGAGTCTTATCTTGCTTTAAATATTTATAACGATCCCGCCCCCTGCCACTTTATAACGTTGAAAAAAATGGGTAGTTCATTGAAAAATAAATTTGATTCTATAAATGTTGATTTAAATTTCAAAACAGGTGTTTGAATTACAAAAATCTTAGGGATAGTGACGTTAGAAATGCAAACAAAAGTATTTTTTTATTGCATTTCAGTCCTTTATAGTAACTACACATAAAATATTACTTAATATCCTAAACACTAAATTTACAAAAGATAAACATTAGATACATTTGTAGATAAGAGTGACAAAGTTTATATAGTTGAACAAACAATAAGGTAGTCAGTTCCAAAACCCCATAAATAACATTGTAAGTGTTCGTTCAATGCGGGGTGGGACACCCCGCGTCGATCGACCTCGTGACTATTACTATTCCCGACTGTTAAACGTACTTCGAAAACAACCATAACTGATCACAATCTCACTCGACTTTCTCCTGTTACACCGGTCACAAATTTGAATATGTTAATTTTCGACTATATTCGCCTCAAAATTTATAGTAATGCGTTTGTGAGGATCGGCGAGGGCGCGACTCGATTGAAATGGGGTGTTGACACGATCCTGTCATATCTAACACGAAAAGTTTTACTTTCTTTACTTGCACACTAAACTTACGTATGCCGTCGCATCCCGACAAAGTGGGAATCGATCAATTAGCATATACTATCCACTTTCTGGAAATGCAAATTTGCCCACGTTCAATTATCATGGGAATATCCGAACAAGCACTTACCCTTCCTTTCCTTAAGTGATGTCCATATTAGCTATTCAACACAACTTCGAATATCACTCGTTTATTTTTGGATGACAATTTATCGTGTGGCAATACTAAACCAACAGGTGTTATTAATGGAGCTCTTTGCATAAAGTTATCCATTACAACATCGTCACAAAGATTGAGTAATTAAAAGTATCGATTCTCCCCTACTATTCAGTTTTGCGACATCGCCTGATATCTGATAGTGTTTCATCTAACGCCAAATTCCTGTTGATGCCGAGAAGTGTGTCGCAGACAATGGTCAAGGCAAACTGCAACCGGTGAAATAAAACACCCCATGTAAAGTCTTTGTTAATGATTTAATTAAGACAATGATATTTATATTATTTTCTATACACACTGATCTATTTACAAACAGATAAAAGTTAATGTACAATCTGAGGCTGAGAGCCAACCAATAATGTTAGTTTATAATCTTACAAATCCATGATATGAATCAATTTATACACAACAATTGTCTAATCCATCTATAATAAAATAACAATAAAAAAAGGTGATGTAGCAGTGAACCGCCTTTAGCAACTTTCGTGATTCACAACAGGTTTACAAACAAAGGTGCGCGCATTCGTATTAATTTTAAGAATCTACTTGGGAGAAAAAAACAAAAAAAATTAAATAATCCCATTTCCGAACTACAACACCAGTTTTTTTGAACAATTCATTTGTTTATCACAGATATAAATAAATGCATTTACACAAAATATACAACATATTGCAATCGACCGCGAGTTCTTTCACTCACTGATTTAACTATTGTTGCACTTTGCCCATTAAGTTCAGCCCGACGACCTCCGCTAGGATCTGCAATGAAAAAATTATTAATTGATTGGATGAGAGGGATGAGAGAAGAATATTGATGTAAAACAATGGGGACTGGTTTTGGTACGATTGAGTAACTTGCGACGGACTAGTTAGTGGCCGGGACCATTCACTGATCAAAATCTCGTATCATTTGTCAATGTCACGAAGGTGGCGATAGCGGGAATTCCTCATTCAGAATATTTTAGTGTGGGTACTTACCTAACGGACGGTCCAGAAGGGTGCGGCTCACACCGGCGACACGAACCCTCCGTTCATACTTTGCTGGCTAAATTAGAAAAACAAGGTTGGCCAAGTTCGAAACGTTCACTTAATGAAATTTACCTCTTATAAAAAGGTTTGAAGGCAGCGTTGTCGGTGTTAGGGGCGGCGACTTGATTCTGTTGCGACGGATGGGGTCGTTGCGGCGATTGCAGTCGACTGAAACCTCCGAGGAAATTTGATTGGGAATATCCGCCGTTTCCTGTCGAACCGCCTATACATGGAACTTGTCCCGGAAGTAAATTACCCGCAACGCTAGGTAACTTCATGTTGGGTGGTGTTTGAGGTGGGGTATCGGTTTGGACGTCGGGGAAACCCTGCTGGCAGTGGCTCGGCAGAAAACCACCCGTGCTGTATCTCGCCGAGCTGGGTAAGACAAATCCGTTGCTTCCAGTCCAGTGCTGTTGCGACGGAGGTGGGGGTGGTGGAGTTTTACACGCGGCCGTATCCGCCAACGACCAAATTTTGGGTTTGGAAGGTGGCAGAGGTACGCCGCAGTCTGGCGATTTTAATTCCGGTTTAAGGCCATAAGCGGAACCGAGCATGTGATGCATTTGACTACCTAAAATGTCATCTTTCCTTTCCTCGTCTGTCAGCTCGTCGTCATCCAAATCCTTGCCGTTGCGTTCCGATTTAATACGGCCGTGAATATCTGAAATGAGAACTTAATTGAAAAAAGCGGAATTCTACCCCTGATTTAAAAGGGGGCGCGCGCGCGACTAAGTGGTAGAGTCGGTATCTTCGTTTTGGGGCTATAAGCATTAACTGCTGATCCGATTAAAGTGAAATGGGGGACTTAATGCGCGTAACACTTGAAACGCCATTTAACAGACGGGAAGGCCTTACCTGTATCGTCTCGCTTATCCTCGTCGTCCTTATCCTTATCATCGTTATCTGAAACCATTGCGTCGTCGTCATCGTCCGTTTTATTCTTGGGCTCCCACGTCATCTTGTTTTCTTTCTTCAATCTTCTTCTTGCGTTAGCAAACCACGTGGACACTTGCGTTAACGTCATTTTCGTTATAATCGCCAGCATGATTTTCTCTCCTTTGGTCGGGTAGGGATTTTTCTTATGATCGTTGAGCCACGCTTTAAGGGTCGCCGTTGATTCTCTAGTCGCATTCTTACGTCGCGCTGCTAGATCGTACCCGGCACCGTACCTGCAACAATCATATTAAGCGTTATTTATTGTGTCTCTTTTATTGACGCTCGTGACTGAGGTAAAACGCGAGACACGGTTTGTCAAGTAGATGTTTGAATTTGTACTAAACGCCCGTTTCTTTGTGCGAAAGCTGGCGAGCTAATATAATATACCCACCCTCGAATCCCCGAGAGTGGGATTTGATTACGGTCAGAGTGGTTTCACCCCTATTAAGCGGGCCACTTTTTTCCGATAAACAAGAGAAAGGCGGCCTTCGACGTCAATAAAACGAGAAAAATAAAGTTTCCCTCGATTTCCAGACATCATTGATACACTTCCGCTGAGCGAGCGATTGGTTACGCCTTGTCCGCCTTCGATCAAGCCAATATAACTCAAAGTCACTATTTATTTAGTCAGCTCTTTTTTTTGACAATTCCAGTTCGGCTTTCCAATCTCTTATGGAGCCGGGCTTGTTTAACAATGCAATGCGAAATGAGTGAAACCGATTTTATCGACTATAAATACAAATGGTGCATTGCGATGGCAGCCGCCACCTGCGCCGCGACGCCGCAACAAAGCTCCAATCAATAGCGCTCCCTCTTCAGCCATTTTGTCTTGAAGCCATTCCAACGTTACCCGTTCCGCGACCGGGAATTAGCCGCAACGTAATCTAAACCGGATTCAACAACTATTCACGGTGTATCCAGAAAAGCTTCTTTTGCGTTTGTAAAATCGATTTGCATCAGGGGACGAAACAGACACGCACGCACTTTAGAAAGTCTATGGCTTGTTTTTAACAAAAAACGGAAAACGTAGAGCATGTCGACTGGTTATATCTAATGGATCTGGTATTTTTTTTTTGTATGGAGAAACGCAAACCGCGACTCTCATGCAATTGTTTTACCTCGACACGCTTCGTAAATTCGTCCCGATCATAGTAATTGTCTACAATGGATGTCACGCCAAACCCCCGTTATTTTTGAAAACTCACCCGTAAGCCGCTAACGTCGAATCGTACGGATAATACCCTGTCGTTGGTTGCAGACCCGCACTTGTCCAACTCATATCTGTGACTCCACTTGTATCTTTTAAGGCATACGGGTTACTCTGTAACAAATTAAAATCTATTAGTATTTCTTGGGCGCGACCCGTTTTCTTTGATTGACCATTGTTTGAATATGCTAATTCGACTCCAACTGTTTAAAAAAGCGTATTAGATCGATAATTGTAACTGATAATCCCATAAAATATGAGTCATGAATATTCAGTCGCTCAAGTGTTATACCGCTAATTCTTTTATGTAAATTATAAGTTGTAGTACACGGTCGATCAAATCTAAGGTAAGGTAGCACCGACCTCAATTTCGCATTCAAGAATTTAACGTACATTTAGGCAATCTCGTAAAGTGTATAACAAAGTAGGCATCAAGTACTAAAAAAAAGTGCGGTGTAAGTCAGGCTGAACCCCCTACTAGGAGACATTGTCCTGTCGCCGCTCGCTGTGATTCTCACGGCCGCAGGATCGATGCCTGTCGCGACTGCAACTTCGAGCTTCAGTTAAAAGCTCGATGTATCCATTTTATAATCAACAAATATTTGTCTAACCGCGACCTGAAGTCTTACGAGAAAAAGAACGCGGAAGAAAATTATAAAAAAGGAACTCGTGTAAGCGTCGATCATCTTTTAAAAAAGATAACAAAAGCACAGATGTGCACTGGTAGGTGCTTGTCCTGATATATGATTTAGAAATCCACTTTATATGTGTTCACCCCGAGTCCGGAAACCGGAGTTGCTATATATTTATTCTGCGCGCGTAAATCTTTCGGTGGGGTGGAAGACGTTAGAGTAAGGGATACCCAAGGGAATCTGGAAGATGGATAGAGACTTTCGCGCTTAACGCCGCCTGAGTGGCTATAAAAAATCTCATTTCTAACCACTGCTCCACTAAATTACCGGCATTATCCCACAGTAAACAACAGTCAATTGATACCGCTCATTGAAAACGTTTCGTTCGTTAAAGGAAGCTTAAATTGATACATAGCCATTTAAAAAATAAAGGCAACTTGTTGAAGGCGTCCTTTATTAAATTTACTCGCTTTCGCAAACAATGACACTGTGCTTATAAATAAAAAAACGTCATACGAATTTGAATAATCTAAAATATTTAAATTTTATATGCGCCATAAGAATATTTCAACTGGTTAATTTACGACTAAATTGGTCGTTTTATCGTTTGTTGCATTTCCAATTATTATTGCCTTGGAGCGCGGTTGTGAAGATACTGTACTACATTGTTTATAATGCAAATTACCTTCATAAATTAAATTGTCAATTTTAAATTCACATACACTTTTAGGCAGTTGAGATTATTTTACAAACTTTATTTTATACATCTTTATTGACTTTTAGAGATGAGACTATTTTTAGCTGCTCGGTCTTCGGTGAAACGCGCCTTAGGGATATACACTTTTTCTACAGTTTTCTAGCAATCGATTTTCACGGCTATTGCTGTACAATTTTTTCTTTGATCTAATGAAGACGATACAAATTTGCTCATTTCCACCGAAAGCTCCATTAGGTAAATTGCAGATTTATCTGTACATGCCCTTTATTGCGACAGTTCCATGTTGTGCATTTGGATTATACCACCACCATAAATCCATGAATCATTTTGATCCAATATTCCAGTTCACAGTTAAGTTTGTGACTTTCATTTTTATACACCCCTTGTTTATAGCTTATTGCAAACTGATTCTTACTCACTTGCTTCTCTCAATTTACGTTTTACTCCCAGCGTTTTGGTTCCGCAAAGGGTGATATTTATGGTTACCCAATCAGCAAGAATGTAAATTAATACCTGCCTGATGTTATTTTGCGGTTCCACGTTATGGAAATACACAGCTCCCTTTACTCCATCATGCTTTTAATGTTTGTTAATTTCCTGCCACTATTTTCTACAATTCATGCTTAAAGATTCACTCTGAACTTTCGTCCCCAAGGAAAATTCACTGCCAGGCCCAGAAACGTATAGGTAATTTTTCCAAAGAATATTCAGACGGTTTGACCACGAAGGAAAATATTCGGATCCAAAAAAATCACGAACAGGTGAATTCGCTCTCAAAAAACTTGGTACCCGTCCTCCAGCGAAAAATAGCCCTAGAGATTTGCATTGGAATTTTCACACCAGAAGAAAATTCGTTCCCTTCAGAGTACTCACTCGACTCAGAAATCTTCTGCTAGCAAAATTCAAAAGAATTCTCCCGGTACAAGTAATTTCCAAGTTTTTAATATGCATTTAAAGTAACCTGGGTGGTTTTGAAATGTTTAATAGCGACGAAAGCGGTTTAGATTTGCAAAATACTCTTCCTGATGTCAAAGAAGGAACCAATGCTGCAAGGTTACCCCAGAAATCGCAATAAAATTGCTTACAGGTTCATTCGGTATGCAGTCAATGATGCCACAAGTGCGAGGAAGACGAATGAAATTTGAGTCAATATACTCGTATTTTTACGTAGGTATCTAAAAAACGTCGCTTTGGTCTAAGGTAACCAGAATGTAGGTTACCGACCACAGACATTACGTTTCCATGGAAATTTTAAACTTTACCTCCCGTAAAAAGTTATACGCACAGTTTGCTGAGGGAGCAAAATCTGGCTTTCGGTAGAACGCGGAGATAAAATTAGTTTAATTAATTGATTCTTAATATGGTGTCATTTTCTACATCCATGATTAGTTACTGTTTTACTAATTAGAACGAGAATTCCTGCGTCTATACCGTCATAAGAAAGCACTAATGCTGTAAGACACTAATACAAATGTGGCAATAAATATATGATATTTAGCCTCCTTTTTAGCGCATTTCCACAAAAATAAAAAAAAATGCGCTATTGTGGCCACTTTGTCCGTCCGTCCGTCCGGCTGTCCGTCCGCTCGTTTTGCGACGCTACTAGTTCTTTATCTTAAGAGCTATTGTTCTACTTTTTTCACTAATTGGTTCGTTATGGTGTCGAGTCTTGCACCAAGGAAGGAATTTGTTCTGTACCGCTTACAAAAAAAGTTATTGTAAAAAAAACAAAAAACCGTTTGTTACATGTTCCACAATTTTACACTTTTGCCGTTTATTAACGAGCCTAGAGATCGTTTATAATTTTGTATTGTTGTCTGTCGTCTGTCTGTTGGTCTGTCCGTCTGTTCCGTTGCCTGTCTGTCCCTCTATCTGTCCGTGTGAACGAAAATTTTGTTTAGAAATGTCCGATCGCTTTTACATCTCCGTTAGTTATGAACTGAATTGCATGAAATTCAATATGGGCATAGCCTTAGCCATATAATACGCAATGCGAAGAGTTGAGTCGAATCGATTCAAAATTCACAGTGCCCTTTTCGCATCTCGACCATTTATAAACCGAATTGCAAACTTTTTTTCTTATAAAAGTATTTAAATGAAATTTGATACATAGGTGCTTGGAATAAAAGAAAATCTAGCGCCAGTTTAAAAACTTTATTTTGCCCATGCGCAGTGCCAACTTTTTTTATCTATGGAAGCATTTAAGTGAAATTTGATACTTTGGCGCTTGGAACAAAGGAAAATCTAACATTAGTTTCAAAATTTAGGTTTGTGCATGCGCAGTTCCAACTTTCTTATTTAGAAAAGCATTGAAATGAAATTCTTCTCATAAACTGAAATTGAAGTAGCACGTCAAAAATGGATTGCCCATGTACAACGCTATCTTTCATATTTGTGGCCGGATTTTTACGATTTTAATAGAAGTTGCATCTTACAAATGGGAAATGAATGCAAGTGGAAATGCGCTTTATGTAAATCGTTTACGATTACTTTTTAACTTGTTTAGTATTGAAGTCGTTACAAAATGCTGAAGTCACCTTAAAGCTTTAAAACGAAATTAAAAATAAAAAGCGAACTCGTCTCCTTTTCACTTGAAACAGAGTCATTGTGATCCAAGCCATCAAGCTCATATAAGCAAAAAAAATTATACGGGGAGAGTCAATTATTCGCACTTGTTATTAATTTCCGCCCTTTGAGAACACCCTCCCCGGACACTCTGTTTTGCAGATATTTGCACTAACAGTTTTGACATCACCAGTAGATATATAATAATAATATTTATTGAAGGGGCCAATAAATGGAGGCAACTAACAAGATATGAACATGAAAAAATCCAGTTCTAAGTTTGTCTTTAACATTTCCATTTATCTTAACAAATTAATTAATACAAGTATTAATGGTAAGTTATGATGTATTATCGTAATAAATACGCCATTTCCAAAATAACATATGTAACTCCAAATTTTGAAAAAAGTCAGTTACGTCTTTATTCTTTGTTTTCTGGTTCATCTATAATTTTTTATAAACCATTTGTGTGGTTCTTTAACGAACTGTAATCAATTACACAATTACATGAGAACATTAATTCTACATGAATAAAGGTGGTAAGTCAACATTGATGTGAATAAAGGAGGCAACTGTTGTTAGTTATAACTTTCATCCTTCAGAATGTTACTAAAACGCAACACTTATGCTCCTTTATCGATATACAGGGTGACAATTTGAAAACTGACCACCCCCCATGTCTTAGTAATAAACGAGATATTTAAAAAAATCAAAATCCGTTTGGTAATTCGGAGGGGGAATCACAATGACATAGTTGGCGACGCACCCCCTCTAACCCCCTGCGCCCCAGCCACCCCAACTCTTAAATCTTAAATAGTGACCCCCCCCCCATGTGTGTCGTTGGAAAGCTCTAAAAAAATGCTTTCCAGCCATACCAAATAGCATTACATTGAAGTTAGTAATTATCGTGCAAATCAAAAAATAAACTAATATAATACATTTTCTAAAGTTGGCTTTTATTTCAATAAATGTTCAAAATGGTTTCCGTTATTGGGAAGACAGTAGTATAATATCTTCGCCGGTTTCGTTTTAAATACGACAGATTTCAAATGTATCATATTAGTTTATTTTTTTATTTGCACGATAATTACTAACCTAAATGTAATGCTATTTGGTATGGTTGGAAAGCATTTTTTCAGAGCTTTCCAACGACGTATCACACATGGGGGGTCACTATTTAAGATTTAAAAGTTGGGGTGACTGGGGCGCAGGGGGTTGGAGGGGG